AAATATCCCTTTAAAGTGGAAGTGAAGCAGTCAGTCAAGTTTACATTATTTAGTAAACTGATTTCCACTTTAATAAAAAAAATATAAACACGATTAATGTATCCATTTAAAAGAATAAAGCAGTGGTTCCCAAACTGGGGGGCGCAGCAAGGCTGAGGGGTAGTTAGGGCCCTATGAAATCAGTTTTATTTTTTCCTAAATTCCGTTTTATTTTTTTCCAAATTCCGTTTGTTTTTTGTTTAATTTTTCTGGATTCCATTTTTTTGAGTTTTAATTTCTCGACTCCTTTTTAATAGTTAAATTAAATTGTATTAAAATAAAACGCATGTCTAATTAATTAAAATCATGAAACTTATACATTTTCACATCAATTTATTAAAAGTTTAACAAAAATTACATGTTTAGGGCCCTATGAAATGTTTTATTTTTTCTCACCATATTATTTATATTTTTTATTGTTACCAAATTCTGTGTTTTAGCATGTCTAATTATTTGAATGCATAAAACAACTTAATTTATAAAAATGTTTTTACTTAAAGTAGCATTATACATTTTTTTTTTTTTCCCTCAGAAATTCTGTGTTATGTATTTACATTTTTCTGGTTATCAAATGAAGGCATAAAACATTCATTTAATTTATCTTTTAATTATTTAAAATTAAGCAAACTTAATTTTTTGGCAAAAAGGGGATTTACTATTAAAATTAAAACATGGAAGAAATGTTGTGTGATTATTCCTTAAAATAATGTTTGTTTCATTTTAGTAGTAGGAGTAGTACTAGTAGGCTATGTACATTCTACTGAAAAATAGTTATGCACAATGTCTTCAAATTCATTTTATTTTGACAGGTTACCGTGAATACCTTTACAGTTCTGTGTATGAGATATGACTGTAGTTTTGTAGTAGTAGTAGTAGTAGACTTCAAATCAAACCGGACGTTTATTTTGACGGGTTGCCGTGAATACCTTTACAGTTCTGTGTATGAGATATAACTCTAGTTTTACTCAAATCAAATGGTCAAATGCTCATGAAGTGACTCTCAGAGCAGTTCATGTGTTTACGTCCTCATTTAGTGAGATGGCAGACGCTAAAATCAACGCAAGCGTCAGGCGCGCTTCAGTATGTGTGTAGAAAATGAAACTGCACATCTGCGCCATTCATTAACAGGATTCATATTTAAATTGACTTTTGCGGCTTAATATTTACAGATATACTAGTCCATATTGTGATTTGATTTAAGGATAATGACCTACTTTTGATTAATTCATTCAAAATTTGACAAATTCT